TACGTTCCATCATTTTAGCAAACAAACTGTATTTATTGTAATTTTAAAAAATGCTTTTCCCAGAAAAATATTCATATACTTAAGATAATTTATCACTTGAAATTTCTTCTTTATAAAAATTATCATAGTTTATAATAACATTAAAAATAAGTTTTAATAACTAAAAAGCTGTATCTAACCAACAGACTAGTACTCATGGAAAAAAGTAAAAAGAGAACTCATTAAGTGCCAACTATGTACCAGACGCTATGACAGATACTTTGCATGTCTTATTTTAATTCATACTACAATCAGATAAAGTTGGCACTTATTAAAATCCACAGCTGGCAAAAGTGATTCTCAGAGTGGTCCACAGTGGTTTAGAGTAAGGGCTCTAGAGTCAGGCTTTCAGGACTAGGACCCTGGTCCTGCCACTTACGTCTCTGTGATCTTGAACAAATCATTCAATTTTTCTCTTCTTCACCAGCAAATAATTAGATTAAAATGCATGACTGACAGAATTCAAATACACAGAGATAAAAAACAAAACAGTGGCCATCAGGGGAAAGGGCAGCAGGGCTTGGAAGTGGGGAGATGTAGGTTAGAGGAAATAAAGTACCAGATATGTAGGATGAACAAGTACATCTAATGCACAACACGAGGACTGTAGGTAACAGAATTATACTTTGTATGTGATTCATAATAAGTAGGTTTTAGCTGCTTCCCTCCCCCCAAAAATAGGTAACTATGTGAGATGACAGACGTTAATTTGCTTCACTATAGTAACCTTTTTACTGTTTGTATCCCATAACATCATGCTGCATACCTTAAACATACACAATAAAACTTTTTTTTAAAAAAAGTGACTAGCACATGGTAAGTATTCAATAAATGCCACGTACCACTACTACAAACCCATGAATATCCCATCACCTAACATGAGACACTATAAAACAGGACAGGGATTTGAGTCTAAATTTGTCTTCCACCAAAAGAACACTTATGCAATATATCACATTGCTCTTTAATGAAACTATCTCTTGGTGTATTTTTTTTTTTTTTTTTTTGAGACAGAGTCTCGCTCTGCCGCCCAGGCTGGAGTGCAGTGGCGTGATCTTGGCTCACTGCAAGCTCCGCCTCCCGGGTTCACGCCATTCTCCTGCCTCAGCCTCCCGAGTAGCTGGGACTACAGGCGCCCGCCACCTCGCCCGGCTAGTTTTTTTGTATTTTTTAGTAGAGACGGGGTTTCACTGTGTCAGCCAGGATGGTCTCGATCTCCTGACCTCGTGATCTGCCCGTCTCGGCCTCCCAAAGTGCTGGGATTACAGGCTTGAGCCACCGCGCCCGGCCTCTTGGTGTATTTTTAATTGTTTGATATACAAAACTCAATTCATACCTTGTTCTAGAAAACATAAATTTTTTTCAAAGCAAAGCTGTCTTAGGTCACACGATGAGGAAGGTTTTATTTTGTATCACCTACATAATTACCCATGTTCTTAAAAAAATAGTTCAACGTAAGAATATGTACTCAATAAGATGTATGTACTCAGTAATATGTACTCAATAAGATGTATGTACTCAATAATACGTACTCAACAAGAATAGTATGTACTCAGTCTACATAATCATCCAATTCAAAGGAAAATAAAGTTTCTGTTTAATTTCTTGAGTCATTCTAGACACAAGATACAAAAGCTATGTTACTTCAGAGTTTGAGTTATGCTCAAAAAATTAATCACATACACAAAGTTGCACTAGTAATAAATACTAAATTCAAGACTTGAACCCAAGTTTGTCTGACTTGAATGTCCATATATATAATAACTATGAGAAGTGGCCTTCATAATTTAAAAAGTCACAAAAATTATCCAGCAAAAATAAATTCATCTTTGAAGACTCTAGAAAATGAAATTATTGCTTCAATAATTTGGGGTGGTTTTTTGATACAGAGTCTCGCTCTGTTACCCAGGCTGAAGAGCAGTGGTGCGATCACAGCTGATGGCAACCTCCACCTCCTGGGCTCAAGTGATCCTCCTACCTCAGCCTCCCCAGTAGCTGGGGCTACAGGCACATGCCACCATGCCCAGCTAATTTTTTCTATTTTTTTGTAGAGATGGAGTTTTGTCATGCTGTCCAGGCTGGTCTTAAAATTCTGGACTCAAGCAATCTACCGGTCTCAGCCTCCCAAAGTGTTGGGATTACACGCGTAAGCCACCACCCCCAGCCAATAATTTTTAAAAATTCTAAATCCCCTATATGAAGTAAAAACTCATCAAAGTTGATAAAAACAGTGTAGTAGTGCCAACGGAGGTAAGGCTTAAGAAACACTGAAAATTTTCATTAAAAGGCACTACTTAGCAGAGAAAAGTATGTGGAAGATAAAATGCTTCAGCTTGAAACACAGAGGGCAGAGAAGTAACTTATATGTGAGCTTAGCTCCATTTCTCAAAAAAGCAATTAAAAATTAGACAGTATTGCAACTTTCAGTCATCTCTTTACTATGCAATCAGACTTCCAAAAAGGAGTATATTAAATTTTTTCTGGAAGAGTTAAAAACTTCAAATTGATTATCCTTTATCTAGAACAATTTATTATTGACTAACAATAAGATGATAAATCCTTTTTCAAGGTCCCAGTCATCCATACGAACTGATGATATAGCCATAAAACATAAAATTCTATAACCCCTGCACAGTCATGAATCTGTATTTTTCAAATAGAGGGAGATATCCCACTTAACAGCTTGCAAAATCAAAGACTATTTCACCGATGCAAATAGTTTTCTATAATGGTTCCCTATAAAACATTAAATAACAAAAGACTGCATTACTGATCCACACAACTGTCCGTACCAAAGAGCAAATCTCAGATATTTAGGATACTTAAATAATGAATGAAAAAGTAATAGATAAGAATTCAAAATAGCACATAACTAAATCACAGGGTGGCCTGGAATTGAGTATGTATTGTATTCAAAGAGGAGAGTGGTATCTTTCTTGTTATGTTTTCTATTGGCAAACTATAAACAGGGCCAGACATAGTGGCTCATGCCTGTAATCCCAGCACTTTGGGAGGCCAAGGCAGGTGACTCACTTGAGGTCAGGAGTTCAAGACCAGCCTGGCCAACATGGTGAAACTCTGTCTACTAAAAACACAAAAATTAGCTGGGCATGGTGGCAGGCGCCTGTAATCCCAGCTACTCGAGAGGCTGAGGCAAGAGAATTGCTTGAATCTGGGAAGCGGAGGTTGCAGTGAGCCAAGAGATCGCACCACTGCAGTCCAGCCTGGGCAACAGAGCAAGACTACATCTCAAATAAATAAATAAACAAACAAACTAAAGACATAATAGACATCACTGAAAAGGTTGGAATTAGTTGATATAGGGAGATATTAGGATGAATGATATAAAAGAACTAAAATCAAAATGAAAATAGGTATGCTGACTCCTCACACTATCTTTTATCTCCATGATGAAATAAATACAAGTTAAATACCAAGATGTAATATAAAAATTAAATGAGTTTTAAAGAAAGACGGTAAAAATAAACATGCATCTTGGATGAATGAACCATATAACCTATTACATATGGTTTTAGCAGTAAGATTTTATAATATATGTATTTCATATTATTTCATAAGAAATATTTAAATTATACATGGATTTTTCTAGCGGCTACTTCATCTCCCACTTCTTTTCACAGTACTGACTAGATTTTAAATTACTGATCATAATGTGTCCTAGTTCACTGAGATGATAAATAGCAAAACATTTTGAATTTAAATAAAGGACTGAAATTTAAAGTTTGATTTTTCCACTAAGCTGAGCTGCCTTCCAATTAGATTATTTAAGATCTACAAGCAAAACAGTATCACAGTAGGACATAACCTCAGGATTCTTTTTCACTTCAAAGCTTTTTACTTTCAAAACTCCAACCTTTACACTATATTGATATAAAAGAAGGCAAGACCCATAGATGGGAAGTGAATGTTATAAATGTACAAATCTCATATCTATATTTAGATTTATACTTTACATAAAGTTGTTCCCAAAACAGAAATAACATTATTAGAAATACTAAAATGGAATTTCATTAATAGGTAATTTAGATAATAATTATGAGAAAAAGTATTTCATTGTACCTTAAATTTTTCCCACACCTTCTAGATTCACCATCAATTCAAAATTAGATAACCCATGAAGGAGCTCATCTATATGTATATATACTAATGAAGCACTATAGTGTTACTTTTGGAATAAAATTAATGCTTATCTATATAACTTGCCCATTAAAATCCCCAAGCAGGGCAATGTGTATAGTCAAAATAACTAATACAATTCATTTTTAAATTCTTTTATGTATAATTCTAAGCTATAACATTAAATTAGAGTCTGGCACATGATTTTTTTTAAATAAAAGAGAAACTATAAAAATGCACATGAAATCACACTCATTAGAAGAGATTTAATTTTTACATAAACATGGATTTGCCACTGGTTAGATTTAAGTCCTCAAACATAAACTATATATAAATAAGGGATGATGCCAATTAATATTATGCTAGACTTATGCCATGACAAAAGCATTATAAAATAGTATCACTTTTTAAGATATAAATTATGTAATTGCTAATAAATATTATTCTTTTGAATAACTTTACCCTAGTAATTTTCTTCAACCTGACAGGGTTTCATGGTCAATTCAATCCATGAGTATATGCAAATGATAAGGTCAGGATTAATATTTTTCCCTCAACTACATATTATAATCACTATGCTATCTTTGGTAAGAATTTGCTATTTATTATCAAGAAAGGCATTCCTTTATGATATAACAACCTAAATGTCAGGGTTTTCTTTACTTATTGTATAAATATCTATCTCCATTAGTTCCAAAAAATTTTTATTAGTACTTTAAGGGCAGAACCCAAATACCATAATACATTTATACAGCACCGAGTATATCATGCATAGTCTAAGTGTGTATAAAATATCAGCAATTGTACATGCAAAGAAAACTTACCAGACAGTTGTTTCTACTTGACTGTCGTTGAGCTGCCGATTATCCAATTGGGCAAAAAGTGGAAAAAGCACTTGAATCCCTCCAATTGAATGAATTGCACTATGAATTGAATGTGTTACTATTGCTTTCACATCCTATGTCCAAAAACAAAAATGTGTATTAAACTTCTATAGAACGATTTTCATCACTATTTCCTTGTTCCAAGTACCTTTATAAGGGAATTAAATAACATAGTTGGACATTTTTAAGCCTTCAATTATAATTGCTATATACATATAAGACAAAAAAGTGAATACCTTTGCTAATCACTTTTAAATTTCAAATCTTAGGTTGAGACATTTTTACACTAAAAATATGAAGTTAAAATCAAACGTTATTTTAAAATCAGAAATACTATTGATGGATTTAAGACAAGTAATTTTATTGTTAGAGAATATTAGTAATACATTCTTAAAGCAAAGTATGTTTTTATATCTAACAATTAACTTATTCAGTTAATTGATTTAATTTCAAAGGCTATATAACATATAATAGATATGGCAGATTTCCTACTAAGGAGACAAAGCCAGGGTAGAGTATACTGCTACAGAAAAGAGAGACATTCTTTAAAGTTTCACTTAAAAGATTTGCAAAAGCCAAAAAGAAACAAAAAATCATAGATTTATAGATGAGCAATGTTTGACATATAAAATAAAGTTACTGTCAAATTCTAACAAGAACATGAAAACAAAGCCACAATTCACATACCTGAAGCATTAGAGCATGTGGGGAATGCACAAAAATTGATGCATTCTCTTTTGGTGATGATTCCAGGCAGAGTTGAGCATCAGTGGCCTTAGCATTATATGTAAAGGCAATGCTACTTGCAAGTTTTCCATCATATAAAACCTGTTTATGATGTTCTGCCAAATGAATATCACTCTCAGATTTAAACTTGAAGGTACTCTGAAAAAATAAAACTAAGGTAAACACTCTTTAAAAGCAATAATTAAACTCAAAAGTTTTAAAACAGAGAAACATTTACAATAATAAACTATTTGTGCACCTTTCACGTGTCAGGGACTACTCAGTGGTGTTTCTTACTTTGTTATTGTCACTTTAATTCAGTGAGAGCTAAGTTTTATTATGACAATAAAGATGCTCAGATCTTCATTTTCTAATTTAAAGTTTTTCATTACTGGCAAAATCATTTCATTAGAAAAAAATATCAAACCTGATATTATATATAAATAGAATTTTACTTGACTACATCATAGCATAAGTTTAATTTTTCTTGTTAACACTTTAAAAAGTATTTACGTAAATAAACAGTGCCTGGCACATGAATAACTTACAGAGAAAAATGACCATCATTTTAGGCTATAAAAAGTTAATATGCAAAAATATTCCTATCCTTACTAAAAAGCAAATCAACCTATGAAATACCAATGACACTCAATAATAATATCACAATATACATACTAAACTCAGAAAAGAAGTTCATTAAAACATGTTATTACTTTCTATGAAAGATAAAAACTAAACATATGCCATCTGTAACAAGAAAGGTATTGTTATACGTGGTTAAAATTGCTCTACAGATATGAATCTAATAATGATAAATAATATTTAACCTTTGCAATAATCACATATCAGTATTACTATTAATTTCAACTTACAATTATGAAAATTGAATGTTACAGAAATTAAGATGTAGAAGGGACCAGCACATAATTCTAAGTCTTCTGATTTATAGTCCATATTCAATGTATCAATAGTGAAATCATCTTAAAATCCTGACGCTGCCACTAATTATCTTTTTCATGCTGAGGAAATCATTTAGCTGATGTGCCTCCAATTTTCTTACTCTAATGTTATAATAAGGTTAAATCAAATGTCCCAAACTCAAGTTCTTATGGGAGGCGCACAGATATGCATAAATGAACTGGGCCAGATGGGAACTTCCTCAAACTGGAGAATGTTTGTTCTTTCTAAAAGTGGCCCCTAAGTCAGTTGTTCAATGTTGCTAGTTCTTCCATATTTTTCAAGAGAAACATGAAATCTGAATTTTTATCTAAAATCACTATATTTTAAAATTTAATTCAAACATTTTAACACTTTGCAGACCAAACATGTCAGTTTTTACTTCTGGACTAGTGTGTAGAGACTATCTAATACAAAACTGGATGCAAACCATTAACTACTAGGCATGTGCCAAGACAAGAGCAACATGAATAATTAAAAATTTGTACACGCTGTAGTCTGAAGTATTTCACTGATAATACTTTTTTTTGAATGAGGATGGTAGTGTTATCACTAGAATGCTTAAGAACTCAGCATATCTATATTAAAAAAACAGTGACTGATTTAAAACACATAAGGTATGTTGTTAAACACTGAAATCAGCTTTCTGTGTCTGCATTTTACCACTGCTGAAACATTGGTATATCCCATTGTCTAGAACAAAACTCTTGCTTTCATTTTGTTCATACTGCTTACACCAGAATTAACAAGTTTTAATATTTTCTCTTAAAAGATTTAAAATCATTTTGTGGAAATGTAAGATATCTAATAAAATCTATTTTTATTTGGAAAAACATTGGTCTTAGTTTTTCTGAGCCCATGATATATACCATACCCGATTTTGGTTTGTAGGAGGAAAACACGTTTATATAATAATTAATTAAATCTAACACTTTTAGGTTTAAAAAAGTGTGTAATGTAATATAAACATAAAATCCATTAAATAAAGATAATTTTCTTATCTTCCCTTATTTGTAGTATTAGGTTATTTCTATGTCTTTAAATTTATATATAAAGGCGGATATGCGCAATGGCTCACGCCTGTAATCTTAGCACTTTGAGAGGCCAAGGTGGGAGGATCACTTGAGGCCAGGAGTTTGAGATCAGCCTGGGCAACAAAGAGACCCCATCTCTACCCAAAAATTAAAAATCAGCCGAGTGTGGTGTCACACAGCTGTAGTCCCAGCTCTTCAGGAGGCTGAGGTGGAAGGATCACTGAGCCCAGAATTTTGAGACCACAATGAGCCATGATCATGCCTCTGCACTCCACCCTGAGTGACAGAGTGAGACCCTGACTCTTAAAAAAAAGTTAAAAAGAAAAAATTTTACATAAAAGTATAAGCCTTTATATAATTATCAATATTTATTGTATTATTTCTTTCAGAAGGATTTTCATAGGAAGAACTGTTATACAAAACTGTATGAACAGAACAAGATGAGAATGAGGAGTGATTGCAAATAGGCAGGTAGGATCCTTCTGGGTTGATAGAAATGTTCTAAAATTAAATTGTAGTGATGTCTACACAACTTTTTAAGTTTATAAAAAATAATTGACTTGGACACTTAACATTAATGACTCGTATGGCATGTAAATTACACTTCAATAAAACTGTTACAATTATTTTAAAAGAAGAAAAGAAGGTATGAATATATTTTGTACTAATTACACTCAAATGAGGAAAGTATGATGCATGCTTTTCAATATGGACCACTTCAGCATAACAAAGAAGGTGGGTGGAAGCAAAGCTGTACTGAGCTAAGGAAATGACTCCAAGTGGTTACTGAATCCACAGAAACAAAAGAAGAGATTCATAAATGATAAATCAGAAGATCAATATAACAAAATCTACAAACATATACTGTATCTCCTTTCTTCTCTCAGCTTCTTTAAAAGACACAATTATTTGAAGTAATAATTATGTCATGTTGGGTTTGTAACATACACAGATCTTACATATGTAACAATAATATCACAAAAAAACAGAGAAAACAAATAGAGCTATATAGAAGTAACATTTATATAATTCACTAGGATAAAATTAATATAAATCTGAGGCTGATTCCAGTGAGCTAAGATTTATAGGGTAAGCTCTAGTACAATCACTAAGGAAACGTTTTTTTAAGTGAAAAAATTATTTAAAAATTTTGAAAATGCTATATAAGAAAATAAGCACATAATCCAAAGAAAGCAGTAAAGAATAAAGAAAGAAATAAAAACACGAGACACACAGCTAACAAAAAGTAAAATGACAGATGGAAACCTAACTATCAATAATCACATTAAAGATGAATGAAATAACCAATCAAATCAAAAGGCAGAGATTGTCAGATTGGATAATAAAATAAGATTCAATAACATACTGTTTATAGAATATTCAAAGGTAAAAACATATTTAAATACATGAGAAAAAATATCAAGAAACCACAAGAAAGCTGGAATGGCTGTGCTAATATCAGACAAAATAGACTTTAAAACAAGATATATTATTAGGTATTAAAAAGACATTGAATAATGATAAAAGGGCCAATCATCAGGAGGATACAGCAATCGTAAACATATGTGCACCCAACAACAGAGCGTCAAAACACATGAAGAAACAGCTGAAGAAATGAAGGGAGAAATACACAAGTAAACAGTAATAGCTGGGCATTTGATTTTTTTTTGGTAGGTCATAGCTTCCTCCATCTTTATTTTCTGATATAGGAAAATACAAGAGTAACTTCTGTTAGCTTTAGAACTTATAAAACCATTCGCTACATAGTTTTCCATGCATAACATCTAAATCCTAGAGAGAAACACATGGTGTTAAATACAGAAAGTCTGAAGCCCAACAGAGATTTCCTATTAGGTTCAAAATGAGGATTGAAAGCTATAAGTGAAAAGGTTTAAGGTTTAAAAAAAAATAAGAGTTCATATGAAAAAAACGGGTGGGTGTTAAAGGGAGGAGAGCCCACTTATAAGCAGTGGGAAAGGTACTTCCAGAAGTCCATGTAATTCTCAGGAAAAGGCAAATTTTGCTTATTTTTAGACAAACCATTGGAAAAAAACAGGCTAACAATCATCTCCCATAGGAATAGTCTGGAAAGTGGACAGGACGGCTTGAAGTGAAACAGCATAACTGGCTCCACCCAGGGTGTCATTTCACCATTAAGGGACTCGATCAGATTTCACTAAGTAGAGTTGTTACGTCACCACCAATAAAAGTCCTATGTTCTTTTGGGGAGAAATATCTGGGTATAATATTTCTACTGCCTCTAATGGTTGATTAAGATTTCAAGTCTTTCTAGGCTCTTCCTCCCTCCCTTCCTTCCTCCCTCCCTCTCTCCCTTCCTCCCTCCCTCCCTTCCTCCCTTCCTCCGAAGCTTCCTCCCTTCCTTTCTTCCTTCCTTCTTTTCTTTCTTTTTCTTTCTTCTTTTTTTGGTAAGATTTGAGGAAAAGGTCAACAGATAAGCAGGATATTTTAAAAGATTTGAGCTGAGTGGGGTCAGTGACCAAAAGATCTATTCTGCAAGTCCAGTTTGCCATATATATATATATATATATATATACACACACACACACACACACACTTTAAGTTCTAGGGTACATGTGCACAACGTGCAGGTTTGTTACATATGTATACATGTGCCACGTTGGTGTGCTACACCCATTAACTCATCATTTACATTAGGTATATCTCCTAATGCTATCCCTCCCCTCTATACTCAACTTTCCATTCATAAGATCAAGAAGGAAATTGAAGATTTGAACAAAAACCAAACAGAACTAACAGACATCTCTAGAACACACCATCCCAAAACAGCATAATACACATTCTTCCAAAGTACACATAGCCGGGCTCAGTGGCTCATGCCTGTAATCCCAACACTTTGGGAGGCTGAGGTAGAAGGATCACTTGAGGCCAGGAGTTCAAAACTAGCCTGAGCAACAGAGCAAGACCCTGTCTCTATAAAAAACTGAAAAATTAGTCAGGCACAGTGGCTTGTGCCTATAGTCCCAGCTACTCAAGAGGCTGAGGCAGGAGCATAGATTGAGCCCAGGAGTCTAAGACTCCAGTGTGCTAGGACTGCATCACTGCACTCCAGCTTAGGTGACAGAAGGAGAGGCCCTGTTTCCAAAATAAAAATGTACACATCAAACATTCTCCTGGCTAGACCAAACT